AGGTGTGAAGTCAGATATAGGTGTGAATATAATATAATATAATATAATATATATATATATATATATATATATATATCGTAAGGTCATTATAAATAGGCCTATATGAATATTTTTAGTGTGATTGTTTCACAATTAATACGAGTGTTACAGATTATATAGTTTTTTTACATAATCATAGAAATCACTGGTTTAAAACAACAGGAGTGTGCATTTTTCATGCTGCTGCTTGGTTTTTCCATTCTTGGTCTGCCTGTTTTTGAAGGCGTAATTTATCAATTATTTATTTATTTATTTATTTTCTATTTGTTTATTTATTTACTTTATTCATTTATTTATATTTATTTAACTTATAATAAATAAAATAAAATAAAATATTCTGATTAATATAGGCTCATTAATATAAGATACAATATAATTTAATTTTTTTAAATTCATGGTCCTACATTTTTTCGGCGTCGGAGACGATTTTATTGTGGAAGGCGCACTACAAATATCCCACTAATACCATTACCATTAAAACAACATGACAACATTTAAGATTCAAATTTTAATTTTATTTTCATTTGAAAAACTACGTGACATTTTTTTTTTGAGTCTAATACACAAGTACAAAAAAATCACAATAAATTACAAAAAACAAGAATACAATAATAATAATGATAATAATAACAATAATAATAATTTATATTATAATTATGCTTATTTTAAGGCCTAAAAAACAGTGATGTAACACATTGCGTTTTATAACTTTCGGAATTCGAAACTACCGGTCTGAAAAACTGTAACAACATAGATCATCACAGGCCTAACCCTACGAAGTGAATATAATTCCATATTTCAGCTTAATTGAGGAAAAAATAATGACTTTACTGTCGTTATTTACTGAATTAGCTGATTTTGAACACATTACATTGTTTACAGTGTCACGCACGATTGCTGTGGTTTAACCAAGGAGGGTTTGAATCGCTACAAGGCCATGTAAAAAAAAATTATTGATAGTTCCCTTCATAATAATAATAATAATAATAATAATAATAATAATAATAATAATAATAATAATAATAATAATAATAATGATAATAGCATATCGTTCTTGATGATGACATAATTAATGTCGAAATATAGAATCCCGACACGATGGCGTGCATTTCGATACTTGGAGTATGTATTATACTATCTTATCTGAGATTAATCAGTGGACCTTTCGGTCAATAACATGTAAATAGCATGAAGGAAAGAAAGAAATAGTTTAAAAACAGCTGCCTGCATGAAATAAAATTAAATATTTATTGTTTAACAGTGGTTCGTCTAATTATACTGAACCGGTTTATGTCTATTATAATGGGTATAAATAAATGAATTGAACCATTGTTTCGAACTCAAATCCTACACACTTCGTCGGGGAGAAGAAAAAAGTATATATATTGTTTACATATTAGTATACTATAATCAAACCAAATTCAAACAAATCGATGGCGACCCCACAATCACATTGGAAGGAAAACTTCAAAGATTTCTACGGACCCTAAATAAAAATGGGACACTAGACCAGAACACTTACAACAATATTTATCCTACAGGTTCGCAACCTGCCAGGATTTATCGGTTACCTAAGATGCATAAAGCTAGGGCGCCCGAAGAAACGCCTGCTTTCAGACCCATTGTTTCATCCATCAGCACATATAATTATAATTTAGCAAAATTCTTGTGTTTGTTGCAACCTCATTTGCCTTTGGATTTTTGTGTTATAGGCCTATATACCTTTAGCTTCGTTAACAACCTTTAAAAAAAAAAATTAAATTTCAGTAATAAATTTATGGTTTCATTTTATGTTAAAAACTTCCTTTCTTGGACGTCTGGTGTCTAAAACTAAGGATGGGCCAACTCAGACCTCGGTTTTAGGAAAATATCATATACCGGGATACTTACAATTTTTTTCAGTTTTTGTTCGTTCAGTTACAAAATTGGTCTTATTCGTACCTTAGTTGTACAGGCTTTCATTCTGATATCAAGGCATTAACTACCATCCTTAAGAAAAATCTTTTTCCTTCATTCATTATTGATCAAATTATTTTTCGTTATGTCAATTCAGTTTAATATAAAAGTAAGAGTGCACTGGAAAACACTGAAGGAAATACACCGACCATTTTTTATTTCAAATTACTATATGTTGGCACATTTTCCAAAGAAAATCCGTGCCTTATCGAATTTTGTAATGACTTAAATTTAAAAACTGTCTTTTCCTTACTTAAAATAAACATGTCTTGTTGGGACCGTTAAGGCCATAATATACTGGATTAAATATAGATTTGATGAAGATACGATCTGTTGTGTTGTTTTTGAAAAATATACTATAAAATGGTTTAAATAAGCCTTTGAAATCCCTTAATTGTCATAGTTTAGAATGGGGGGAGGCTGGTTACATCCGAGAGATTTTGAACGCCCACACCAACATACGTTTTGGTTGGAGACCCGGCCGCCTGTGGAGACATCATTACCACCAAACAGCAAAATGTTGCTCTAAAGAAATTCATTTTTACATTAAATGGCAATTTCAGATTCCGTAGTAAAATAAAATAGTTTCGTAACATATACGTTTCTATTTCCCGTTACAAAATCAGGCAATTGACACAATTGCCTTAATGATAGCGTAGGCAACAGCAAAAAGAAAGAACGCGCCCATCCCGTACTGTAGATAATACGTCGATTCGGGTAACTTCCATGGGGCCTTTATATGCCTGAAAAGTTAAACGAATGATAATACAGATAATGAATTTATAAGGTACATATTTACAAGCATATTAAATAGATCAAGATAGCCGTTAACACTGTTAAATTATATGTCATCAAAGAAATGTAAACACACACACATAAATATATATATATATATATATATATATATATATATATATGTAATAAATATTATTTATATGAAAATTATACATTATTCAGATAAAAAGTCTCTCTTCGGAGATCTCGTCTTATCGTTTGAGTTTCTCAAGAAGACGTATCATGTCACTTTGAGGGGTATCAACTACTACCACCCTATGTTCTATTTTATATAGTACTTACCTATGTATAAATTCGGCAAGCAAACTGCAATGATCAACCTTTAGGGTATCTTTAGTCTTGATAAATTTTTGAAATACAATGTTCAATAAACAGCAATTACTCTCTAATGGATTTTTTAAAGCCCCACCCGCCCTTTGAATATTGTTGCCAAATTGTGAAAATTTAAACAGCATTAACATTATGGGACATGCGCGTATTCATGACTAATAGATGGTACGTATTTCTGCTTGCTTTCAAAGAGAGCATTTGTTTTGCACGCAGTTGTCTGTAAAATGGATAGAGGCCTACCACATTGTTGAACCTTTTCCGTCTAGGGGACAGAAGAAGGTTGGTCTGTCACAAATAGCCTCTTAAATTTGTTAGTAAAAAATTCTATAATAACAAATTGTGGAATATTAAGAGGTATTACATTGAGTTGGTTACTCTTTGAAGTGTACCGGTTGACTCGTTTGAACTGGGACTTCGTGGCATCACTGCATCTAACACTCCTCCCACTTAAAAAGAAAACAAAAACTGCTAATCAATAGGGTCACAATATTTGTGAAGACTGAACGGGGAATGGTGACAAAATCTTTAGATATTTATATCATCATCATCGTCATCGTCCTCGCCGCCGCCGTCGTCGTTGTCGTCATCATAATGGTCATCATCATCATCTCCAACATCAACTTCACCACCAACACCAACTTTACCATCATCATCATCATCATCATCATCATCATCATCATCATCATCATCATCATCATCATCATCATCATCCTTATCTTCTTCTTTTACTTCCTCTTCACCACCACCACCACCATTAAAATATTACTGCCATCTTTTTAAGAGAAGTCTTCTCAGATAAATAGGATTAAGTGTTAACACAATATGTATAATTGCTTAATGCCTGCTAGAAGGGTGTAGAAATATGTTTGTCATGGTATGTATCCTACGATTTCATATAAGGACTTGCAAACAGCATTACTTTTTAAGAGTTGTATTTTCTAGATACATGTAAACCAATGCATATTTACAATGAATTTGTTAAACACGAAATAAAGCTTATAATTGATTGACTGAATGTATTTACATAGGGCACAATACAACCTGTCTATGGTTTGATGAAATAATTATGCTAATGATAGCTTACGCATGCTCTTCAAGGCGGATCCAAATGTAAGATATGATACTGTAAGGCTCACAGCTATGAATATTTGGGTAAACCGTCCAACCCACCTGTATTCTGGAAAAAAGTCTATAATTATCTGCAAAAAAATGACACAATTTATTATTATATTCAGCTAAATATGATTACTATTATTATATATAAAAACCCAACATTAGTAACTAGAAAAAATCAGATAATCTAGCAACTGAGCTCAAAGACCATTGTACAAGTTACTTAAAATATTCTATGTTGTTAATATATACATGATCCCTTTTCTGTTTTTTTTTTTATTTGCTATGTTTGAAACAGTGACGTAGGCCTATATGGTGTGCGGGGGCGCACGCACCTAAAAAGTGACCTGCCACTGCGGTTAAGCTTGGTATTTCATCTGTAAGAATTATTAGCTGGGTTAAACTGATAGCAATTGTTATTGTCGTGATGGAATAGACAATAACTGGATTTGCGTCAGGAGAAACATGTATAGGTGTAATATTGCCCTACCTGACGTGGAAATGTACTGAATACTCAGTACATTTGAAAACAATTGCGAAAAAAATCGCAAGTTGTTCTCGGGTTAGACTCGAACCCACGATTTCCAGATCACTAGCCTAGCATCATTTCTGTAGACCACCGAGCTTTCGCCTGATGGTCGCCTGATGATGATTTCGCAATTACTTTCGAATGTACTGAGTATTCAGTACATTTCCACGTCAGGTAGGGCAAAATTACATCTATACATGGGTTAAACTGTTTCATTCTCTTCTATGCTCAATAACTAGCGATAACTGTATTTGATTTCACGAAATTGAATCACCGATCCCCCACTTCATCTCTGCGAAGTCATTATTCTGAACATCATTGAATAAAATATGTAAAATTTATAACACCAACGATCACGGTGGTCAGCATATAGAGGGTGAACATAATAATTTGAACTAAAATCATTTACATATCAATAAAAAGCAATGAATGGATTACACATTCTATATCCCTATAGAGTAGAAATACTGGCAATACAAACAAAAACATGAAACCTACTTCAGTCAATGGAACAGTAGAAATTTGTCCATTTTCTTCCGACCTGTTAGAAAATACATAAATATCGATGTGATAATGTTTAAATAAAATTATATTACTGCATCTAATTGTCGAACTTAAACTTAGTAGAGCACCGCCGCGACGAGTGACGCGAGATTTACTGAATTTGACAAATGAATTGGAAATTTATAATATACTACAGCTATTTTGAAAGCGATTTTAATATTCATCTTAAGCATACTATGGATTTTAAGTATTTTTAAGCAAAATATCAAACTGTGCAATTACCAAGCTTTATCGATCAAGCAGTCTGCGATCAAGTCGCCAAATACGGATTGCCTCTTCTTGTAAGACAAGCACCTCAACCATAACGATTTGACTCTAGTTTTTCAATATTTTGGGTTGATAGGAACTGGGTAACAAAAATTATTAGTTTTGTTTTTTCTTTATTCGTACCTCTTTAATGTATATTTGTAGCAGTCTTCTGGTGGGATGATATTCGTCGATAGATGTGATGATGTTAGAGTTCCATTTTCGTTATATGTCTGTGAATAATCTTCTCTACATTGGGCATCAGTTTGAGGTACAATATGAAGAACAGATAAAACCCTTGAAAGATACAACAAAAATCGACATAACTATGAATAAATGTATTGAATAATATAATTTATTGTTTGTTAAGGATGACTCACTGATCTTATCATTGTAGTAGCCTTTGTTCATTTAAACAGCACGTTAATATTATTTCTATCATGATTTTCAAAATTCATAAATGAATAAATATAATTAGGTAAATTATTCGGTCGAATAACCAAATCTTGGAAATATTTATTTTTTACTTCACGGGAAAAATATCTTGATTAAGATTCCTTTCATTCACTTTTAGTATAATTCGAGATTATTATTCAAAACTATTAGGTAAGAAAAACAAAACAAAACAAAAACACAATATAAGGTATATCAAATACCAATGATTGTAAGCAACTTTACCACAATATATTGAAAATCATGCATGTTGTTAATCCAGCGAACGATGCAAAGAAGAAACATCGCACCTGTGATAAACAAAAAAAAAGAAAAAAAAAATACAAATTACAATAGAACGCAGCATAGTAACATGACAAAAATATGAACTTCTAATTAAAAAAAAAAAACTCAAACAACTTCCAATGAGAAATTGATCGAAATTAACCAGTATTTAACTAATTTTCAGGCAAAAATATCTTTCAACTCAGATTTCCAGATAAGAAAGTCCTATATAACACTGAGCCCGCCCTTTGGATATTGTTGCTAAGGTCCCTCAAAACAACAGTGTTAAACACGCGCGTTTGTCGGGGACAACATGTCTGCTTGTTAGACACGCGCGTATTCTGATTGGCCCTGTTCTGATTGTTAAGTTTGATTGACACTCCGGAAAGTATATATGTATTTATGTATATATATATATATATATATATAATTGGTTTTTATAGCCATTATTTATAAATAATGGTTTCACATTATTTAACGCTGGAATCATTATAATTGGCTTTTAATGCCATTATTTATAATGATTATTATAAATGAAGTGTTTTTGTATATGATTATTCCGAATTTAATAAATAAATAATGTCGAATGAGGAGGAGGATCCGTTTTGTCAATATGTAGTAGGCCTATAGGCCTAAACTACAAAACTTTCCGTTTTTTATTCATTTTGACTATTAGCTTAAATTCCACATAATATATAATATACTGTAATAGTAAGCCTATAAACATTTTAAACATACTTAATATACTGTAATAGTAAAAGCCTATAAACATTTTAAATATACTTAATATACTGTAATAGTAAAAGCCTATAAACATTTTAAACATACTTAAGCCGGGTACTCTCTCACCCGACGGTCGTCGGCCGACGCGAATCTACGAAGAACACAATGTCACGACGCGTGCGAAACGCGAAACGGGGTCTTTTTTTAATGACGATCCGTTCAGATCTGATAATCAGCACACGGCGTCTGAGGCTCACATGGAGAGGAGTTAGATTCGTCATACGACGGTCGTGCAGATAAATTGTCGCTTGCGATCCGATTATTTGTTGTGATTTTGACTTTAACTATTGTTTATAAATAATGAGATGTAGAAAATCATCAGAAAACAGAAGTTTATTATAAATAATACAGCACCATGGCGTGTGAAAAAACCATTATTAATATAATTATAATGGTTGTAAAACCATATATATATATATATATATATATATATAATTATAAAGGCTGTAAAACCATTATATATAAATAATGGCTGTAAAAGCCAATTATATAGGCCTATATATAATGATTTTGGCGTTAAATAATTGTATGCTAAAACATTATTTATAAATAATAGCT